AAGAATGGAAGAATGTTTAGACTAAGAATTAAATGATAATTTGAGCAAAAATACCGAGCTGACAAAAACGATATCGATAGAGATTTTTATCGAGGTAAACAATTTTTGCAGCACGGCTTTCATGCGGTGACCCGATGACGCGGTTTATCTCCGTGTCGCAAGTAAACGCAAGATCAATCAATTAGAGCGAAGTCCGGGCGACGAATAACTAATGCTTGTATAATTGGTCGTAAGAGTGATAAGAGAAACGTATGTAAGTCTTAGGCTTGTCAGTTTATCGGGCCGTTAATGACGCTTATTTCATCAATCCATCATCGATTAGCTCAGACATTAGTGTGTGTGCATTAATTCGGACACGTGATCGTCAGCCGATCTTTTAATGACCCAACTAATTTCTTTTAATTTTTTTTTTTCCTACTATTTTTTGTTGAAACTGATATCTTTGACACGCGCCAAAAATAAACGATAATTACATTGACGCAATTGAGAAACTGCATTTGTGACCTAAAACGATTGCTTTTCGCATTAATTAACAATTGACAATTGTTCCTCCCTGGTTTTTTTTCTCTTTTAAGTTATCGTTTTTCCAGATACATAATTTTATTTCTTCTCGCTATATTTTTTAATTTGTTAAAAATATTTAAACTATTTAAGTTTCTCCCTAATGCAATACTCTACGGTATAATTTAAATTCATGAAGCTTCAAATTGCAACTTCGCAATAATATAGTGAGCAATAAAACGATAATGGATCCGAAGACCTTGCCTTACCCATCGCGTTATGGGCGTTAATTCTTTTCGATGGGAAATTGGGGTGGCTATTATAAGCGCAAGTAACGCGATTCATCATCTCTTCATGTAATTTCTTACTAATCAATTAGAGAGCGGAATCCCGTTGATGATTGGGCAATCTCCTTGCGGTGCGCGCGAGGGCGAGCGATAAATCTGTCGCGATAAATTGCGACGGTGTGCCCTAGCCGCAGGTTAAGTAGTCACGATTTAAACTGTGTCGGTGAACGATCGCACGGAAATAAAACGTCGCAGTTCTCTCTCTTTCCTTCTCTCTCACAATAGGACAGGAATAGATTCGCTGGAAACGCATGCCTGTGTGTCGTCGCGATATTTGACACGTGTTCGCGCGCCTGACGCCAAGGAGGCCGCCTTCAACCTTTAAGCCGCACCGCTTTAAGGCAGGAAATTGGTATCGTTGTCGCCGAAATTGGTTGTATCGCACGCAATAACAATTATTCAAAATTAATTTTTCAATTTTTGAAAAGCTGAGCTTTTCTCGAAAAATAAAACCGCGTGTGAAAAAGTATCAATCTCTGTACAAAGTCGTTAGCTTGATTTGATCTCGATTCTACATTTTATTACTGTCGTAATTAACGTCGTTTCAGCGAGAAACACACGCGCTCTTATCGCAACGAAGTCAAATATCGCACCTCTCATTTCCGACTTCTTATTTTAAACAGCCTCGCCGATAAAAGTGCACCGATAAAATATTGCTCGCGAAAAGAAGACAGGTATTATTGCTGCAAATATAAAGCACAGAGAGCGCGCTCCAGCGCAGCGTGACGAGATATGGTGTCTGCGGCCGTTTGACACTGGCCTCTTATCGCGGATAAGAGACGAGAAGTGAGAACACAACGTAGTCCTCTTGGCGAACTCTTTCCATTGAGATCGCACATCTCGCCGCCGAAGGCGCGCGATCCTATCTCTGACTCTTGCTTTTTCTATCTCAATGATAAACGCAGAAGAAATAAACCCGAGCGCAATCTGGGAATGATTGAAGTATCGCTCGCAATAAAGCTCTGATATCGCATTATCATAGATTACACTGTAACGTTGTGCTGCATTATAATGCAACCGTGCACTGTTCGTGTACGAAGTGCGCTTCAGCGTGACGGAGATTAATGACGGAGATTTCCGAAGTTACATACTTCAAAATATTTCATTGATATATTGAATATTTCAGAAAATAGATTTAAAATGCTTTGCTGTGTGTAAAAGTTTAAATTACACAAATTTTTTTGTCAACAAACAAATCTTCATTATTTATTACGACGAATTGATAATAGAAATCTTCCAGTTCCAAGAAATTTGTAGTATGGAAAACATTTTAGGCGTTACATCTGTTCTATAAGAGATATTTTGTGGCTGGCAGTAATTCTATATAGAACAGTAAGAACATGTGTTAACGATAAATTTATCGATAAGTTTAGTGCGACGGGGCGCTCAAGGGGTGTTTTCTGATGCAGAACGACATTAAAAGCTCTGTTCATGCGAGCCCTGCGTTGTGCAGCCGTCGCGAGGCCAATAGCCTCTGAAGCCTACGCTGAGACCTCGTTTTACGTAATGATTATCCATCGCGTACGCTCAGACTTCCGATAGACACGATCAGACGCGACGCATACAAACACATATACTATTTGAAACGTTATCCGAGGCGAGTGGCTGGAAAAACGGAGAAACCTGTCTGTCACTTCAAAGTTAACGCTTTTATGCACGCTACCTTTTCCTCAGTGGGCGTGCTACAATTTCAAACCGGTTCTTGATGTTAACTTGACACTTGCATCTGGCACTGAATATTGCTAGTGATGTTATTATTTCTGGAGTTTGTTAATGTATTTATTGTGGCGAGTTTATATTTTTCTATTATTAATTTACCGTAATAAGAGATTTATTTATTCGCAAAACATTTTGTTTGATGAAGCTATTATTATGGGAAGAATAATTTATATATGTAATATTTCTTATTATATTCAGAATAGTGTTATTTTTACACTGAGCGGTAAATATAACTCCGTTGCCTCAGTGAAGAAGTAGTCAAACTGCAGCGGCCGATAATAAGTTAATTAATTATTAAAATAAGTATTAGGATTATATTCTTGCAATAACAAAAATGTGACCGTGAGATAATAAAATATTACTAAAAGCTCTCTTATATTTTCTTTGAATTGTAAAATTATCTACAATGTAATGTATCTTTCTCATATTGTAATCTTTAGATGTTATTTATTGCATTAATTACAATAATTAATTAATTATATGCAGTAATGTTGTATGCAAAACTATATTTTACAATTCGCGATAATTTGAATTTCTAATGAATTTACAGCCGATCTTTTTTTGACGAAAAAGTTGAGGTATCAATTTTCGAGTTACAAGCGATCGAGAAAAAAAATTTCGCGGAATAAGTTTTAGAGGAACAAATAAATTAGTATGAAACAAGTATGCTAAGAAATAAATTTGGCATCGTCAAATTAGATATTAGGAGATCGATAAATATAAAGCACGCTGCGCACGGCGCTAGCACGCTTTACAATCGAAGAAATCACAATTTCGATCGTGCGTTCTCGTTCCTTCGAAAGCACCCGTTATATAAATCGGAGCAAGTTATTTTTTCAAGCGTTCGGCCTTTAAATTCGCCCCGCCCGGCGCCGTGTGTGGCTGCATGGATGAAAATAAATATCGATAAATCATTCGCTCACGCCGAACGCTCCGAATATCATCCGTGTACGATCGCGGCTGCACCAGGACGCTGCAGGATCCGCGCGTGAGAGCGAATGTCACCTTAACGCGCGCGCAACCACGAGGCGAGGAAAATTGATTCGCGGCCAATTGCACGTAGTATTTATATCGTTCCAATTTTCTCACGACGGCGGCGTGTATGCGATTTGCCCAAGTGCGCTCTCGGATTTGTCGCAAGTAGTATCGCGCGCGTCGTTCCGCCTGATCGTTTATTATTCTCTCTCGTTACGTAACTCCACGTACTCGCGACCTCTTCTCGCAAAGTTCTCATCGTGTTGTCGCGCGTTGGTGAGGTTTCCTCGAGTGTGCAAAATCGCCGGCGTCTTCTCTCAGGTTTGTTATTTCGGCGGGTGATTGCGCTTGCGTTTTGCGCTGCTTCGTTTTCACTGTCGATTGTTCCACGGTGTTAAAAATAATTGCAGATGCACGATAGCGAAGAACAGTGCGAAATTGTCTCATAAAGCATCATACGTCAATATTTGAGTGTCTCAAAAAATAATCATGAATTGTTGCACATGTTCCAACTTGGAGCTATTCTCGTCGGCAACAGAAACTGGTTATATAAATTCGAAGTTACAGTGAATTTTCTTAATTTTTGGATACGCGGATATACGTGTATTTTAGGCGATGTGCGCACTTTGTGTTTCTACGGGCAATCAAAGATTGGTATTGGTACTGGAGATTTTATGCGTCAGAACGCGCTGCACGTGGCTCTCATAATGACCAATCATTTGCACTTCCTGCAGCGCTGATTCGATATGTGCAACATTGTGGCCATGAGCCAATGTCGTGACTATATTATGAGCTACGTTATTGATGCGCGTTCGCTTCAACTCTTTGTTTTTTCTCCCGCACTTCTGCTTATGCACGCTATTAACAGGCTGTTAACTGCTGTTAATGAGCCGACTTTAATTATCTATCGAGCTTCACTCAATAAAGTAAAGATGATTAATCTTCAAGTTCATCAATTCTAAGCATAAACCATTGACAGGGTATTTACGTCCGAAAAATACGCCAAGTGCAATTACATTTAATTGATGATCTAACCAATGCGTAGTAACAATTAATTGCTTTGGATAATTTATTATTTGCAACAGAACTCCAGATAAAAATCTATCTATGATTTTATGTAGAAAACGTTTCAAAAATCGGAATACACATGCACAAAATACATATTGAAAAATTATATAAAATGTTATTTTAAAAAATCTGAAGAAAATTCACGATGATAATTTTTTAATCGCGTTTACTTTTCCACAATTGTAACATTTATGTCAAAGTTTCACAAAGATTTCTTTACGATCAGTTTTATATTAAAAAAAAAGATTTTCCAAGTATTTTCAAACTATAATCTTTAATAAAATGAAGTTCTGCGAAGAAATTTATTCCGATGTAATAATTAGAGGTACTTAACTGTTAAAAGGATTACTTTCATGTAATTCGATCGATTATTTTTCTCTTTTTTTTCAGAACGGCAGCTCAAGTAGCGTGCCAGCAGTGGAGGCAGGCCGAGGCAGTGACTCGACCTCGCCTACGCCCTCGCCCTCCGAGGGCAGGCACGTCGAGGAGCACACAGCCGGCGGCTCCAACGGCCTCAAGATGAGCAGCACAGACTCAGCGGGTAACGCTCGCGGACCATCCTGCAATCTCGTCAGCTCGCTTCTTCCCAGCAGCTGTCGCGGTAGCGCGGAAGCGTTCGCCCGGTGCCTTCATCGACGGCTGACGTCCTTGGGCGGCGAGAACGGATCGCCCGAGCGCTCCGGCGACGCCGCCAAGCCGCACGAGACCACGTGGTTGCATCCATCGTCGAGCAATCACGTCAGCAGTCAGCATCCGATTCTGCAACATCAACCGCGTCACAGTCCGGAATCAGACCTCTTCTTCGAGGTAGAGGAAGAAGAGGAGGAGGAGGAGGAGGAGGATGGACCGGAATCGCCTGCCGAGGAGGCGACCGCCGTCGAACTAGCGCATTTGCTAGTAAATCCGGGAATCCTGAAGAAGGCGAGTCATCACGACGCCTGTCATTGCTCGCCGAGCGGCGTGAGAACGACTGGGACTGTCGTCGCTAGCGCTCATCAAGATCCCGAGTCTGGTTGCGTGTTCGCGTCGCCGATCACCGGCACGCCGCCTGACAGCGATTCCTTGGAGGCATTCTTCGACCCGGCGGAATCCTCCGACGCGGAGAAGCCGAAGATGGAGGCCTTCTTCGATCCAATTAGCACTTCCGACAGCGAAACCACGTCGAATCTCTCCAACAATTCCGTTCCCGCGAGAAGCAGAGTCGCGCTGAGCGGACGTAGACGGACAGACGTGAATCCGGAACGTCGCGAGGACACGTCCGAGTCGAGTTGCTCGTTGAGAAGAAATCCACCACCGTCTCACGAAAACGGCTATCGACAGGAAGATCAGGTATGCAGCTCGGAAGATTCGCTGAACGGTAGAAGCTCGCAGGAGACCACATCACCCAGCCACGAATCTCTGTGGAGCACGTTTGACGACAGCACTGTATCCTTGCAAGACGAGAGTCCGCAGAAAATCAATCACGATCCCGTCATTCCTCACGTCTGCTTGCCCAAGTCGCATTCCGACTCCGAATTACCGTGCAACGGCATCGGCACGGTGATGTCCAGCAAACTCGACAGGAGAACCGAGGAAAAAGAAGAAGAGAGAGACGAATGTGATTTCGTTTCGGAAGGTGTAACGCACGGCAACGGCAGTCTGTGCAACGCGAATGGCGACGATCTCACGAAGGACGAGTCGCTTGTTGAAGACGAGGAGGAATCCACAGAATCCGAGAGAGCGTCGTCGAAAAGCTTGTCGCAGCTAAAGGCGGAAGACGCAGTCAGCGACACTGACACCGATTATTCTGCTTACGGCAGCGCCGTCGACATTCCAAACGCTGTCGTATCTGAATGTTCAAACGGTGCGATCGAGACGACTTCGCGGAGCGAGTTAAAGCTGCAAATTGACAACGATAACGGCGAGGCGTTGAACGATAGCGACGACGAGGAGAGCGATTGTGCTTGCTGCTGCACAAGCTGGGTGGCGATTCGGCTGACGCGAAGGAAGAGGAAGATTCGTCGCCGGAGCAGGAGACCCAGAGTGAGACCACGGTGGAGGAGGAGGAAGACAGACCGCAACGGGTGCGGAGGTGTTCTTCGCTGAAGACGGGCAAGACACCGCCGGGCACGCCGCGCCGGAAGAAGATTGTCCGTTTCGCGGATAAATTGGGGCTTGATCTGGCCGATGTGCGAACCTTCCTGGACGAGATACCGCGGATACCCAATTCCGCGTACAGCGATCTGGCCTACGATGACATGTTCCGACCGCAGCACAGCAGTAGCTCGGAACACGCGACGACGGTCGCTGGCGACGATCATTGGTGCGAGCGTTATCAGGACGACGTTAGCAGGCGCAGATCCTTGTCGGCGATACCCACCAGGAAGATTGATCGGACACTGATGCCGCTGTTCCAGCAGCCCGGCGGCATGGGCAACTTCCTGGACCTGGTGCGCGAGCGGCGGGTTTGCCTGGAGAACGCGCTGGTGCGCGACCCGGTGACCCTTGCGATTCAGGGCACGGTGCGCGTGATCAATCTCGATTTCCACAAGTCCGTGCACGTGCGATACACTCTCGACGCATGGCGTAACTTCAGCGATCTGCAGGCGACCTACGTGCCAAACTCGTGCGACGGTTTCAGCGACAAGTTCTCGTTTGTGCTGTACTGTCACACCCTGTCGATCGGTAACAGGCTCGAGTTCGCCGTGCGATTTCAGTGCAAGGGCGCGCAGTACTGGGACAACAATGCCGGCGTCAATTACTGCTTCCAGTGCCTGCCGGCGTCGTCGTCGTCGTCGTCAGCCCGACCGTACATACCGATCACCGCCGACGAGAATCGGCGCAGCAGCTGGTCACCGTTGTTCTACTGATGGACGTCCGGTCCGCACGTTACGGATCAACGTCCAGCTCGATGACAAAATGATTACGCGGCTCCCGAAGCACAGACTGAAGAGGTTGCTGAAGAGGCTGACGGCGCGAGTTCAAGGAGACGCCTGGAAAGCACTGGTATGTTCTTATTAGATTTCCCTTTATTTCTCTTATTTATCATATTGTACAAATTACGGTATATGAAATTTGTTAGAATTCAGAGTGTGGAGAGCTCTGAGCCGTATGTCACTCTCCATATCGAGAGTTTCATCACGTTGTGAAGCGTAAGCTGAAATCGTAATTTTACAGGAACGAGAAGAAGTGTTTTAAAATTCGAATTTTATACGAATTTTAGGAATGCAATTTTACAATTCCTAAAAATTCAGATATTAATTTCTTAAAAATTGGGGATACGCCTCTCTGTTTTGAAATCCTCGATATGTTTTTGGTTGCATCATCATCTCTCGTTTGTGGAACGCATTTTTGCGGTATGATTATTGTACTTCTTTATCGCGACCTCGTGTACTTTAGTCATCATTCCGCGACCGTCAAGTTCGGTAAAGTCCGCTGGAACTCGAAATACTACGTTAAAACAGTAGTCCTCTCGCTTTATACTGATCATATAAGGATCATATAATTGCAATTGTATATAATTACGAATTGTATTGCAATATATAATATATAATTGCAAGTATATGTAATTATTTTGCAATTTATTGCAATTATATAGAACTTTGCGTCAACGAGTAAATTTAGAATCTTTATTACTTTCGGTTTTGATCGAGAATACGGAAAGAAGTAATTTCGATTATGAGGACGGGGGAGGGTTTCAATGTTTTTAAACAAATATTTTGCGATGTGCCGATACGTCGCAGGCCAACATATAGAATTTTTAACACATGTGAGAAACGTTCAAGGTTTATTATCACTATTATTGTCCACTGTTAAAATGCTTTTGAAATTTTCTAAAAGAGATTTGTCGAATTCTTATTAAATTATAAAATATTATAAAAGCAAATGCGAAAAATCTCTTGAAATATATATAGTTTGGACGTGATGTTAGTAAAACATGTTTACGAATGGAAGATCGAAACTTTAAATTTGCTGTATATAAATTTGCTTGACGAAACAAAACTTGTGTTTTGTTTGATTTCTTGTTGTAGTGTAATTGATGAAATTTGGTTAAATTAAGAAAAAAAGTAAAATGAAACGCAAATTTGATCTGCCAATAGACACTGCAAAAATATGTGTATATTTGGCGTCAGTGATAGCTTCCAGTTTCAATTTAGACACATTCATGTCAAACGAATCAGGTTTAGATTTTGTATATAACTTTCGTATCTTCATGATTTGAAGCAGCGTGTCATGTTCAATCTTTTTCATATCTGAAGGATTACGATTGTAAATAAATACTAGGTTATATTATTCCCATTAAATAAAATAAAATGTTATTTTTTATTTTTTTATTCTTTTGTTCTTTTTGAGGGATTTTATATATGCTTTTTAACTAATAATTATTATTCCTATTTAAACTAATTTGTTTTATTTGCAAAAGTGCTTAATTCGGAAATTGAAGTTATCAAAGACATCAAATGTATTGCGCATTAAATTTTGCACAAATATCTGGTATCAGATATTATTAATTATCGGAGATATTTAAACCATTACCGAATAAGACAAAAAAAATAAGAAAAGAAAAGAAAGTACGATTCTTTGAAAAAATAAAGGCTAATGAATGAATGCTAATTCTCGAAGTATCACTAATGAATAATTTAAAAAAATTAAAGCTATATATATACACGGTGACCAATTATAATCTGTAAATGGATCTTTTTTTTTAACAAATGAAAAAAGGAGCACAGAGGTTAAATTGTTTCGAGGGGGCATCAGATACTGCATATGTTTTAAGGATGAAAGTGTTTTTGGAAATTTCAATCGAGCGTAAAAAATCTTTTGTATATACATGATTTGCCAATGTCGAAAATGCCGTGATGTGACAAAGTTTTTGAATAGATAGCACAATAAAAGATTATCTAACTTTGTCATCGAGAGAAAAAACTAATAGTTATTTACAATTTAATATTAACTCGTTTACTTCAGAAACGTTAATATAATTTTGTGAACATCGTTAATGGAATTAACTGCTAGGAACATTACTCAATTTATTATGTTTTACAATTATGAATTATTTGTTTTTATAGCATGAATCATTATTTAGTTCTCTAATTTAATAAAATTAATTAGCAGCAAATTTGCACAACAAGAAGTTAATATTACTTTGTGCCAAAATTTCGATCTATAAAAATGAAAAGTACGAAGATAATAATCCACATTGTTTTTCTTATATTCTTCATTTTTCTGTATCATCTTTGACTCTTAAAAATAAAAAAAAATCAAGGTTGCAAGGTTGTTTTTTTCTTGTGTGTTTAATGGATATTATTACAGCAGTGCTCTGAAACTCGGTAGTTGGTTGTTAAATTATTGTCAATTTAGAAAATCAAAATTGAATCAATTGTGAACATTGATGATTTTGTATGTATCAAAATACTACGCTTATTTATTCTATGATGAACTTGTCTTGTATAATATACAAGAAAGTCAATAATCGTCAGGTATAAGTTATCTATTGCATATTTTATTTATCCTTTTAAACTGGACTAATTTGTTGGTTAAAATTATTTGCCTCTCCGCTTCGAAAATTCTCGAAACTTTTCTGGTAAATGATCTGTGAGTTTTTTTCATCAGATGATTATGTTATATAAGATACTGATCACGGCCTTCATCGATTCTAGATCGTCATTCTTGTAACTAACGTCTATTAAGCCGGCTATTAGTTCATCATTTTTCACTTGCGCGCTATCTTAACTGCCTCAGAAACGACCACATGAGCCTCATTATTTAATATCTCAAACAATTTGGAAATACTTTCGGCAATTACTTCCTCCGAAATTTGGTTCGGCTCGATTTGATTCATTTCTGGAATATACAACTCTCAATTAGAACGACCAACACTAAAAAGCAATTGCGTTGCATACATAATTTTAAAAGTGTCCAAAATTGGACATGTCGTTGAATTGAATTTTGAGTGCGAGCAGAAGTGAACGAGAACTCTATTCAAAATACGCTAAAAAATGGCTGCGAGTGATCATCCAAATTGAGTTATCTCAACTGGCGCCAGCGTAAGGAAAAAATTATCAAGAATGTGAATGTGTCGCGAATGTGTGCGATGTGTGTCTCGTAGCAAAATGAAATAATTTTTATCAAAATACACACGTGTACACTTTTGTATTAAATACAGAGCGACTTTAATCACAACTTGTATACGAAGCCACGAGCGCAATTAATACATTTGAGACGATTTACAATGATGGAAAAATAACGGTGTATTTCTTTCAGTAAATTTTCTGACAAATTTGCAAAATTATTTTGTTTTCAAAGCGCTTTCACTCTATCTGAGATCTGGCCATCACTTTTTGGATGCTTTATACGTAAACTTGAGAGGTGGTGTTATGTAGTAGAAGTAATAGATAGTAGCAGTAGTAGTATGAATTGCGGGTGGAACTGATAGACAGCCTTCAGTGTTACCCAGATCTTAAGGTTCTTCTGTAACTCCCCGCCTGTTCTGAGGTTCAGCCTGTAGCGCCCAGTATTTTCTGCCAGACTACATAGGCTGTTTACCCTCACATACTTCCTGCTCCGCTAGTCCGAGCTTGTGTAGATGAGGACCACATGTCCTGAAACTGATTGGTGTTGTGTACTTCCGAACGATTTCTTCCAAGTTTTCTTCCTCTGCTACTGGATCTTCAGAATCTGGTAAAGACTCAGATTCAATTGCCGAGGAAGTTGTCTCTTTATAAATAATTCTTCTCTCCACTTTCTCTGCAGGTGAGAAGTCGAACGGTTGACTGAAGTTTTTGACAAATCTTGTTTGCACTATCACTGGTTTTGGAACCTTTATTAAGTCCAAGGATCTTAAAGGACCAACCGTCTGATTTAACTCAGGGAATCGAACAGCCTTATTTTTTTAAGCAGTGATGTCTAGATTTGCAAGCATCAGATTCTTCAACCTCGAACTCAATCTGATTACTCATCAGAATTTCCAGTAATAACTGTTGAAAGTTATTCTTAGAAACAATGTGCCCGTCAATGTGCCAGTGTACTAATTGTTAACAATTGTTAAGATGGAATGCTGTGAGTTTTCTTGCAGCTACAAATTGTTAAGAAATTGGTTACATGCTAGGTTTTACAAGATATGCGTGCCGCGTTCCGGAACAAATCCCGACTGTTCTGGAGAAATCTGTGGTAAAAAGTAGATTTTCAGTCTCTCCTGTACGACGTATAGGAGGACTTCGCTAGAGTGATTTATCAAGGCGATCGAAAAAAATAGATGGTTTCGTTTAAAAAAAATGGGGTTGATCTTGAAATTTCCAAAACGTTTTTACCCTTTTAAAACAAACGCGTGCAGTATCTGATGTTCTCCTCGAAACAATTTAATCTCTATGTACGTTGTACTTGCAAAAAAAATCCATTTATAGATTATTTATTAATTAGCGTTACATTCATTGTTTATTAGTCTTTATTTGCCACCTGCTAAATCACGAAAACCTAACTTTTCATAATCCAAAAATTAAAGAAATGAACTTTTTGCAATAATGATGTATAAACGTTAAATGTTATATGTTAACAACATGACAGAAATGAGAGCAAAAATTTTATATTTTTTAAAATTTATAAGAGAAAGATATCAGGTAATTATGCATTATAGAGGACGCAGCTCCAACGACTTTAATCCTTTTGGTAATCACTCAGGGTTTTGACCTTAACAACATATATCAAGATCAAAGCCATGAGAGCTGCACCTCCTATTATGCATAATTATCAAAAATCAAGTTGAAATATTATCAAATACTATCTTATGTTACCCTACATATGAAACGTGAATTATAAATGTCAATAATAATGTTAAGATATTATATCATACGTTGAGAAATATTGTTACGTACGTATTTATGCTACGATTATGCAAACAAACTAAACTGACAAAATGTAAGAATTGATCATCCGGAATGCGCACATACTTTCCAGTGAACACAGAATTATCAGCGAGAAAAGTTATAGTATAATTGAAAAATATTTTCCTAAAGATTGTTATCAACATATAATAGTACTATGTATAATTGTCTTAGTAGTAATTAAGTAATTATAGAATTAAATAATAATATCAACGAAGAAACATTAAGAATTGTAATATATCTTGATATAAATATTTCAATTTTTTTTGTCATCTTAATTTTTCTGCTAACAATAAGTATCGAAAAGAATGGATAAATGTGCAACGAGTTCATACATCATTAAATTTCATCATTTAGAATTTTTATTCTTTCGGTTTTCATCATACAAGCCGCTCAAAAGCCAAACTGACTAACTTCATGAAACAAAACTCCATCAATTTTATTTTATTTATGAAAAGTTAAGAAGGCAGTTTGGATTCTGGGCGGTTTGGATTCTCATATCAGAAGACTCCGTAATAATGCGTTCTATATACACAATACAGCCATATGTTAACATAGCTTTGTTAGAAGTATGTATATCCGCGACAATAGTTCTGCAATTAATTATTACTATACAACGAATTTAATTTGATATCTAAATATTTTACACGTACAATTTATATTTCGACGAAAATTTATATCGATTTTTTACTTGTTTCTGGACAAATAAATTGTTTAGATGTGAGATGCGAATATGTAAAAGGGAGTTGCGCGTAAAAAGAACAGTCCTCCACAATTGTGATATGTGCGATAATAAAGCGATTTACAATACAATATATCCTGCAGCAAGAGTTTAAGAGAGGAAATAAAAGATATCTGGGAGAATTATAGCATATAGCCGCGATGTTTGTAGGATGAACTATTTTTGTTATAGTCTCCGTTCGTACATGCACATCATCTTAATCGATTTGTAAACTTTATAGATGTCTGTCTCGCACACAGAAGAGAGATCGAGGAATCTACACGTTAAATTAAGCCTCTTCGTAAATGCTTTTATGTCCGAGACAGTGTCGATTAGCATAGTAGTTTGGGGACCGTAGTATATTTTTCTATAGATATATACACAGGGACAAATAAATCGAGCTGTCGAACCACTTGTAACGTGCGCAAAATTCTTGCCACGATGAATGCAAATATGCGGCCGGTGTGCACTCTCGTGTGCGAATTGCGTTCTTCCGATAAACAGACCTGATTTCCATATCTCGTCTTTTATTGCGACTTGCGTATTCACATGGGTCAATACGTTCCTGTTACTTACAATGTGAATCTTGTAAAAAAAAGAAAGCAGATCAAGCATAGGCTGCATAACGTTCAAATGTGTATTGCGTATTGGCAGTCAATGAACTTTATGCGTTTGCAAACATTAATCGTCAATCGGTTGGTGTGAATTTCTGCGTAAATACGACGTCCAAATATGTACGCGCATGTATACAGCGCTCGATCGAAAAAATGTTTTCGATCGCAAGATTGTTCTCAATTGTGAAGCATACTCATACTAATATTATGTAATATCGAATTAGTTCCTCTTGTTCCGTGAAATATCACTTCTTTGTGAATAAGTATATCTGTATGGAAGTTATGCTTGAAAAATGATACTGAAGGGCCTATTTTTACGTCATCAGCGTAGAATGTTTCTTTATATTTCGTTATTGTATGCGTTCTATGTTGTAAGAAAGTTTTGAAAGGAAAAACGCTTAAGGATCATGAAATATCTTGTGCAATTTTATTTGAAGACCATTTTGTTCATTTGTCCGGTAAGTTAAGTTTGCATCGTGTTACGATCATCTGTATCATAGACGAGATTAATCTAATCGTTAGTTTAAACTTTCCTCCTTTTCTAATCGAGTCGATTTACGTGTGCATTGATGTGCAGAGTGCGAGGCGAGAATGCGTGCGTAATAGTGTTTAAAAATAAGTGTTAAATATGCGCAAACGCAAAGGCTGAATGTTGAGGACGGAACAAAAAATATATATACATATAAACAGATACATAAATAAACAGACACATATTATACGATATCTGTAACACTTGTTCTATATATTATTAAAATAATAAATGAAAGACCGATTTATATAGCTTCTCTCTTGTGTTATCTCTCTGTGAAACTTTATCTCACACATCGCATTTATTTCAACGGCAAGATTAATCGAAAAGTTTGTAAAAATGAGGTAAGTACATAATTTTAACATAAAATATTAACATATTTGTAATATCTACTTTGAATATAAAACTATTTCCAAAATAAATTTTACAAATTACGAGTTATTTGATGAAATAACTTATTTTCTCGCATTAAACTCTTTAATTTTATTTATAAGTCATCTAACTTAAAGCGAACAAGTTTACACTCTGTATTAAAATTATAAATGCTAAATAAAAATTTTTGAAATATCGCTTGTTAGCTGAAAAAAAGAGTAAACACAGCACCAATTTCACGTATTGTATATTTACAAGTCTCGTTTTAGATTTTTGAAGTAAAACTAATGCGCTATTTCTGAACTCTGTTGTGAACAGTGTCGCCGGATGAAAGTGTGATTTGGCACGTACGCTTCATTTAAATGCTGAATGATGCACGTACGTTTTCAACGTATACAGATAATATTTCGCTATACAAAAATACAACATTAAAGGAATATTTATATTAAAATTTATAAACACTAATTAAGTGTGTTATTTTGATACTCAGTATCAATTCAGTAACAGATAAATTAATAATTAAACGGCAAGACAATTTAATAAGAGGAAAATTGAGGTTTCTTTTAAAATGGCAGCATTTTATATTTAAAAAAATCGTATGTCAATGAGAGTACAAACGTGGTTTCCTCTTACAAAGCAGTACCTTAAAAATGGTTACCCTGTACATTTCTCTCAATAAGTACTCTATGATATAAAAATATCGCGATTTTATCAGTCTTTGTGTCGCTGATGAAAGAAATCACTCGCGAACGCCATCGGTTGCCGCAAAAAAATTATTCCGATAATCATAAATGATGGTGCCTTTAAAAGTCGCACTGTTAATAAATAGCGGCGTGACGTCTGATCGCAAAGACTATTCGACACTCATCGGGAGCATCTCTATTTCTGGATTGTGCATCCACGTCACAGTAAGTAAGTATAGTAAGTTTCATATAAAACGATGAATCGTTCTTCTTCAGTGAAACTCAAACTTGCGCTGCGTGCACAAGTCGTTCTCTTCGAAAATGCCATCAGCTCCTTTTGGCTCGGAGCAGTCATTATTAAAATAGCGATTCTTAATAATACCGTACTGAATTAATAAAAAAAAACACAGTAATGCGAATCTCGCATAGTTTTAAAATCTATTATAGTTCTCGTCCATTGCAAAATAACGATCTCCTTTCTACACAGTTGTTTAACGATAATATTTTTGTAGATCACTATCTTTCAAGTTGTCTTCCATAAAGCTTCATCAAATCACATTAATTAATGCAATTGTATCAAAATGCGTCCTTCTTCGTGATGCCACTTCTACGTTGTAATAAGTGCACTTGCACAATAATTGACTAAAAATATTCTCTTTTGAGATTGTTGAACGCTGGTGTCGGCTACGGAACATTGGACTTCAACTTGAGAGCCCTGTATTGTCTATAAAGTCGTTGCTTGCAGAATTGGTAGAATTCGACCTCGCGCGTAAAATTGCTGCGCACGAGATTCTTCACCTCTTCGCTGACTGGCGGCTTGAAGAAATTTCGGTTGATTTTCATGAATGAATTTACTTGATCTGAAAAAAATGATGGAATAATTAACATAACTTAACAAATTCAGTATACTAATTTACAATTAAAATTAAAAAATGATTAAAATACATATTAATAGGAATTTTATCTTGATAAAGTTATTAAAATTTTATTGTAAAAAAGATATCGTCTTTATGTGATTTATTTGCGACACTTTTATTCTCTTATTTTATATTAATTCTGGTAATCCTTTTACTTAGCTAACGGCGTTTTTGCAACAGATAGTGGTTTACCGTAATAAACATCGGTGGCTCCTTGGAAAAATCGTGGTATGTAGTTTTCCAGCACCGTAAGAGTCGTGTTCATGTCCTCCAAGACACCGACTACCGCATAGTGCTTTTCCACCGCCAATTTAGCTCGCTCCAGAGCACCCACGGTATTAAACGGACTTTTGAAGTAGAAAAAAAAAAATATAAGTTACAACGTCGCACTTGTGCATTTTATAATTTTATACCATCAGAATTATGCGTATTAATTGTGATGATAATTTTCTTACGATATTTGATATACGAACGTACGTGCACTTCTCGCTGTGGCCGCAGAAGAAGAGCGTTTGCCTGCGATGATCGCCGATGCCCTCGTGAATCTCGCCCTGCAGATATCTGCACTCCCGATCGCCTTTAAGAACGCATGACTCGAAGTCCTTCTTGAGCCAATTGGGGTCGGGCAGCGGTAGATCCGGGAAGATCTGCTTCCTCTCCACGTAATACCACGGCGCTCTTACGTAATAATACCAGGATATGACCCTCTCCACGGGATCACGTACTATGTTGATGTAAATCGGCTCCGGAAGATGGAATCTGACGACGAAGACAAGAAAGTAGAAAATGGCGGTAGCAATCATTCAAATTGCGAAGGCTAATCTCGTGTGGCACTCACTCTGTAAAGTTAGTGAAGCAGACATGCTTCACGTAAACAGACGGCTCCGCATAACTGCTGACCATCCTGGCGAGCTGGAGCTGAAGGTATGAAGGAAGTTAATTCAAAATGTTATATACAACTCGCGCGATCCGCGATATCTTGAGAAAGCAATTAATGATGCAAAAATGATTTATTTTCTATCGTTATTTTCTTTATTACGAATTAATCTTCGTAAATAGACAGAAAAGGTAGAACTCGTCGGGAAAAAATGTGAATTATAGTCGACTTCAACTATTACCGTAAATCATGGACTCTGATTCTTTTTACGTTGTAGCGTATAATTAAACACATATATTTTATTGTATTTATCTTCTCGAACAGCAAGAGGCGATATCCGCTTTTCCTCCCCCGTAATTCCATCAAAACGAGAGACCCGTGCGCGAAACAAGTACGGAAGAGACGGGAGACCGTTAGCGCGTGAATCATTTGATCACAGCCAGCATCTACGTACTTTTCTATCACCTTGTAGGGCTCGGCAGCGGCGGGATTGTAAATTAAACAGGTAATTACCGCGCAAGCGGCTGCTATCGCGCGATTGACGGTAATTGATTGGGCTTTCTTGCTACGGAGGTCGTCGTACCTGTTCGAACGGTGCGAGACGTATCGTCTCGACTCGCTGCACGCGGTCCCTGTTGAACGAAAATGCGTTCCTTATCGACAACCGCCTCAGCAACTCCATAAAGGTTTGCGAGCCAACCTTTGGCACGCGATTGAAGAATAGGACCTGCCGGTCGGCTCTCTTCGTATTGTTCAGAGCGTCGATGTCCAGCGTTTCCTCTTCGTACTAAACAAAAATTATAACAACGCGTTTACATTTATTATTAAATGATAAGATAATTGAAATATCTAATTACAAAATAAATAAAATATTTCTGTTTGCTTGTGATAAAATTATTTTAAAATGACTTTGAGAGTAGAAAATTGTCTTAAATATTATAATATTGTTTGTATAATAATATTGTAATCACAATACATAGGTGTACTCTTATCACCAGATTTATAAAATTTGCGAGCAAAGTATTCGCATTCTAGAAATACGAAATAATGATTTTTACGATTCCGATGTCCTCGCAATAAAACTGAAATGTCGGGATAATTGAACGCACGTCGAGGAACATCTGCGAGCAGCGCGAGGGGAATCAGGATGTAAGAGAATGTTGCGGATGTGCAATTTGCGGGCGTTCTTACCCGCTCATTTTCGGCGCTGACCTGTCATTATTCGCGGGCTCCTCGTTTCTCTTCTGTTCCCCCCCGTGAAAGAGAGAACACATTGTTTCACGCGGCACATCCGATTCCCTCTCGTTAGATAACGATTCGTGTTATTAGCAAGTCATTCTTCGGCATAAGGTGAACGAAGGTAAAGGCTTAGCGTAAAGCGTAAGTGCAAGTACACGAGGCAGCTGCCGACGCGACGCAAATCGCGATACCCAGCAGCGTGGTAATAAACGACGGCCCGTTCACGTTGCCTCTTCCGTGTTAAATTTTCGCGCCACCGGCAGTTGCATCGATCGATTTTTTTTTTCTCATTCACAGTCGCATTAGCCACGTGCGCCGCATGCTAATTCATCGCCCGCTCGGCGTTGCATCACGTCGCAAAAATTAGCGCCTACGTGTACCATCTGATACATATGTATGAGGAAAACTGGAACGCGTGTCACTTCCGCCTTATGCGAGGAACGAGAGTAAAACGGCGCGATTTTACGCTTTTCTTTCATCGGAAATTCATTACCGCCGATAACTCGGCGCGCTGCCGGTTCTTTCGAAGAGAAATTGCTCGAAGAAGAGCTGCGTACGAAAAGTGACCGGAAAATCGAGCGGCCGATTTTGGACCTGTGTTTAAATCTTCCACAAATAAACTTGTTCTTGAAAATTCTTCAGCCAGCTTTCGCACGCTCTTCCGCCCCCCCCCCAACCCCCCATTGTGCTTTCTTTACCCAATTTGATTTTTCCTTTTTGCACGCTACGCAGACAACGCGTGACGCAAGCAGGTCAGATTCTCGAACGATTTACCGGTTCACAGCAATGCGCGGCATGCATTAGTTTACTCATGTAACGGATAGATTTTGAAGTCATCGAGCGACACGTCGTAACTGATCGTGAAATGTCTCGAGAATCGATAACGATTAGCAGTAGAGTAACAGTTACAACTATCTAGCTCTAATCATCATTTTCATAGATAATTTTGTTCATCATGAAATTTCTCTGCGCACGTGATTATCGGAAAAGGCCGTGATTAAGTACTTTCTTGACATATAAAATAATAATTGCGCTAATTACCTTCCCTGTAATGGTACGTTGCACGTTTGAGTAATGGACAATCCCGCTTGGATTAAAGTCCGTTTGAACACCTTCTGAAAACAGACGTAGTAGTTAGTTAATATGTTCCAGTAATTAAGTGCACAAAAAATGGCGGTTATAATTACAATCTTACGAAAAAAATACGTATTAAAGTGATTGGCGCAATGTATAGTGTAGTGATTAAAGTAATTAGTGTTATCAGAAATTCGTTATTTATTTATTAAAAGACTACGGCCGACTTTGCGACTGTTTCCGGCCGCACGAAATGCGGTCGCAATTTTTCCTCTTGTCTCACGGAGAAAATAACGGATTTGTGTTGTGTCATTCAGAAAAATCACCGTCGGAAGAAGATGAACTTCGTTTAACGTTTGATAGACGAGGCTGTCGCGCGCGAGTCAGCAAACGTCGAGATTCCTGCCTCCACGGCCACGTGGGAAATTGCATGCGTAACGACGGGAATCTCTAGTAAATGCACAGTTTCTCGGTTTAGAATGTTTACATGCAGAAATTAAAATTCTCACTTTTAACGATTTTGCTCATTAATGGCGATTCCCTTTTCGTGATCCCGAAGAAGTGAGAACTTTCAAGTTTTCGAAAAGAACGACTTGAGTGAAATTACAAAGAGAAGAAGAAAAACAGAATTTTTTAGAAAAGTATGCTCTATTTTTATTGAATTTTATATGAGCATTCGTCTTTGTCGTTATTAAAATTTTATTTTTTTATGTGTTTTTTATGTGTTTTTTATCAATTCGATTGAGAGATATGAAACTTATTGACTTTTCAATCGTTTTTCCTGCAGTTCTGCGAATCTACAGTAACTCTGATGTATTCCGCGAATGTGCCTTCCCGGACGAATATCAATGCGACGCGCGTGTAGATCTCTATCGCGCTTTTCCCAACGCATGTACGCACTTGGAATTTGTTTGTCGATGTATAAAGCTGTGCCGGAAATACCGTAACAAAGTCTGCGTGATCCGTTATACGCGTACGGAACAACGTTGGAGCTATTTAATCGGCAAACTAGCGCGATTGTTCGCTTCAAACGCCACGAACATTGATGGATACGTTCAAACTCGACTTCCTGCGACGCGCATAGTTTCGCATACGCGTAATTAATTCGATCCTCTTTCTAATAACGTGACCTCCGCATGCCCAGAATTCTCTCGCAACATTTATAGAATATAAAATACAGAAAATATAACTCGTGTACTCTGGGTAACGATTTAATTATCGATTTGCGGGCGCTCGAATGATCTCAAGCTCGAGGAAGTCGGCATGCCGACTCGCTTCGACGTGATCAATCACCGAGGCAGCTCTATGAAATTCATTAGGAGCTCCTCGATCGCAGCCTCGAAAGTAAGTACGACTTGATTCCTTGTTAGCGCACGTCCGGAATCCCCCGGATGCATCTCGATTGTGCGAGCGAGATCCCCTCCTCGCAGGTAAATTAGCGATCGCGGTGATTAAGAGGTCGCCGTGGAACTCGGCCAAGATCAACGATCTGCGGAGCAGACCGGAATCGAGGTTCCCCGTAGGCGACCGTTGGTCATCTCTAGAAAGTCGCCGCTCCCCGTCGAGAGATGCTTCTCGAGAGCATCTCTC